TAATTTCATTTTATTTTTAACAAATAGTTACGGGAAACAATTAGGAAATTATAAATTGGATTCTGAGGAAATGTTATTTACTGGTAAACATGTTTGTGTGTGTGTGTTTTAGGAGTACCTTTCGTCAGGGTTTGGTGATTGGAAGCAAACCTGTAATTTACCCAGTGCTCCACTGGCTTCTTCAGAGGACTAATGAACTGAAGAAAAGAGCATATTTAGCACGTTTTTTAATAAAACTTGAAGTACCAAGTGAGTTTCTTCAAGATGAAACTGTGGCTGACACCACTAAGCAGGTACATAATACGTTAATGATACATTTAAACTGTCTATCATGGATTTCAAAAAGCTCTGGTGGCATAGTGGTTTGGCACTCAGTTGCTAACCTAATGGTTGATGGTTTGAACGCACCAGCTGTTCCATAGGAGAAAGATGCAGCAGTCTGCTCCTGTAAAGAGGGTTGTTATTACGTGCCATCAAGTCAATTCTAACTCATAGCGACTCTGTGTAGAGTTTTGGGACCCTGTATAGAGTTTCCAAGGAATGGCCGGTCAGTTTGAGCTGCTGACCTTGCAATTAAAATTAGCCTTGCAGTCCAGAGCTTATCCTATAATGCCACACAGGACTGCTCTGTAAAGGTTACAGCCTTGGAAACCCTATGTGGCAATTCTCCTCTGTCCTGTAGGGTCACTGTGAATCAGAATTGGATTGGTTTAAGGTGACTGTACAATTTATCATCTAAGTTAGAGACATAAGTTACATCAGAACAGAAGGTATAAATTGGTACTATTCCAGGTGAATTGGGTCATATGCCATATGAGCCCCATACGGGAATTGTGAGTAGACCTAGAAGCTAGGCTTGCAATCTCAGAAAACTTCCTGATCAAGAAGAGGGTGTAGTGAGAGCTTAGAGTTTGAAATTTCTGTGTACTTTTCTTACCATAGTTTTGAGATAATACTGGGTTCTAGCTGTAAGGTCCTAAAACTCTTGACTTCTCAGTATTCTGGCTGACTTGGCCTCTGGTCCTTAGCTCTTAAAGCACTTGCTAATCAGGCTCTGGCAAGAGAGCACTCAGGCTTGAGGTTTCAGAGATCTTTGATTTTTGTGTGTGTCCTTTTGTTTGGCACTTTAATGTGCTTTTATTGTTAATGTACTATTGTTATACAGCATATTAATGAGCTCTTGTTATTCATATACTGTGTTATGTAGCACTTATTTGTGACAGAATATGTTCTGGTAGTGTATTGGATTATGAGCTGGCCTGCTAACTGCAAGGTCAGTAGTTTGAATCTACCAGCTACTTCATGGAAGAAAGATGAGGCTTTTTGCTCTCATAAATATTTGTAGTCTTAGAAACTCAATACAGGGTTCCTGTGAGTCGAAATCGACTCATTGGGACAAAACTGCACCACCATCATCTTGGAAGAAGTTGGTTGATCTGTCTCCCCCAATAGATTATGACGTGCTTGAAGGCAGGTGTTATATCTTCTCCATCTTTATTTCCTTTAGGGTTTTTTATGGATTCTTTTATACAATAGATGTTCAATCTTTGGATTGAATCAAACAATCAACTCCATGTTTTCATTTCTCATCTATATATTTTGGGTGAACATGACATTCATATAAAATGGAGTCACTGTTGATCTAAAATATTTTCAGAGTTGAAAGACTTAAGTAAATAAATAATAGAAAGCAGTCTGAGGTGGAAGTAATACAGCACTATGGATTTTCACTATTTTTAATATGTAACTAAGCCTACTGTTAAAAAAAAGGTCAAGTTAACATATTTTTTTAATGCTCAAGTATTAATTTCTGGGTAGCAAAATTCAGAATGATTTTTTTAAGTTTTCTTTTGCTTTTGTTAAGAATATACACGACAAAACGTACATCTATTCAGTAGTTTCTCCAGGTTCCATTTAGTAACATTGTCTTCAAGTGTTGCAACTGTTTTTCCCTCCTTTTCTGCGTTGTTTCTCCCGCATTTACATAAACTCACTATCCACTAAGGCTCCTATCTTGTCTCAGTCTTCTTCTGTTGCTCCACGTGAATAGCCACTGTACCTTGCATAACTGTGCCTTGGATGAGCTTTTTTTTTTTTTTTTCCTCCGGGAGCAACCTGCTTTGTAACTTTTTTATTGTGAGTGAAAATTTACCAAGCAGATTATCAGTTTTACATTCAACAAATCATACACTTCCTTTCATCTCAGTGATTGCAATTCCCTCATGTAATACTGCTTATTCCCCTTCCTCTCTGTTTTTCTTGTTTTCATCCCTCCTGATGTGGTGCGGTGAGTTAATGCTTAGGACTGCAAAGTCAGTTTGAATCGCAAGGCCAGTGATTCAAGCTCCCCAGCCACTTCTCGGAAACCCTATGCAGGGTCGCTGTGAGTTGAAATAGACTCAGTGGCACTTAACAACAACAACTTTCCCAGCCTATCTGATTTTTGTCATTGACTAAATGCTGCCCTTTTTATTTTAAATGATTGACCATTCTGGTGTACGTACCTCCCTCTTGGTTGGTGTCCCCATTGTAGACCTATCGATTGCTTGACTAAAAATTGAGCCGGGGGTAAGTTCAGTTTCAGACTGAAGGGTGAGCAAGGACCATAGTCTTGGGGCTCTACCAGTGCCTATTTGACCAGTAAACCTAGTCTTTTTAAATTATTGTAAGTCTTGCTCCCCATTTTCTCCCACTCTGTGTAGGACCTTGTAATGCGATCTCTTTCAGAGCAGTTAATAATGGTGGTCAGGCACTAATTTAGTTTTTCTGGTCTGAGGGTCATGGAGACTGATGTTCACATGATCCATTATTTCATTGGACCTAAGTGTTTTCAAGCATCTCCAGTTTTCATCATTCTTTACTCTAGACTGGGAGAAATTAATAGTTTCCCCTAAATGGCTAGTCTAAGATGAGCTTTTAGAATCCCACTTGTTGCTCACCCATGTAGGATGTGGCACATTGTCTTTGTGGACTACATTATACTTGTAAGCTTGTAAGACCCCAGGCCCTATGCAGTGAGATAGGAGGTAGAACACATTATTAGTCCACTTAACTAGGATGTGCCATAAAATCATGACCCTATGTTTCCAAACCAAAGGATCCAATCTCATGATGTGTTTGGTTGTACAGAAGCAATCTTAGAAACTACTGTTTTTTATACCTAGTTGTAAATGTGTCTATCAGTTTAACTTTTTAAAGATGTACAAGTTACAGTGATAGGCTGTGCAACCTTGCTTTTAATCACTGTAATATTTCCATCACCATTAACACACACACCCTTTTCCTCTCTTTCCTGCCGCTGGTAACCACTAATAAACTCTATATACATTTGCCTTTTTTTGTCCTTTTATATAACTGAGGTCAGAATTGGACTGCTAACCTCAAGGTCGGCAGTTCAAAACTACAAGCTGTTCTACCGGAGAAAGATGAGGCTTTCTGCTCCTATAAAGATTTACAGCCTCGGAAACCCTAATCAGGGTCACTATGAGTCAGAACCAACTCTATGGTACTTAACAACAACAATAGAATATGTATCCATTTGTGATTGATTTATTTCACTCAGCATGATACCTTCACGCTCCATATATGTTGTAGTCAAAACGTCATTTCTCCTACTGGCCAAGTAGTAGTCCATTGTATGCATGTCCCGTATTTTGTTTATCCATTCATCTCTTCATGTACATTTAGGTTTTTTTCTACCTTTTGGCTATTGTGTAGAGTGCTGTGATGAACATTGTTTGGAAAAGTCCCTTTGAGTCTCTGCTTTCAGTTCTTTTGGGCATATAACCAGGATGGAATTGCTCAGTCACATGATACTTCTAATTTTAGGTTGTTTTTTTGTTTTGTTTTGATTTTTTGCATCACTGCCCACAATGGCTTTAACATTTTGCATTCCCATCAGCAATAGGCAAGGGCTCCATTTTCCCTAAATCCTTGCCAGTATTCATTTTCAGTCTTTTTTTTATCTTAGCCTTCATAGTGGAAGTGTAATGGTGTCTCATTGTGGTTTTGATTTGCATATTATTGAGTGTCAAATACACCACAGAGGCCCCAGTAGAAGTAGAGCAACATGAGAATCCCTGAGTCCTTGCCTTTGAATATTGAAAATGGTGTGGAAAATGTAGAAACAAAAATGTGACTTTGTTTTCCTCCCTCCTCTCCTCATCAATAAATTTGGTGAAAACGAATTCCTCTAGAAGAAGTTGATTAGTAGTTTTACTACCTATGCTCAGCTCATTCTTGGCAGAGTTAGCAATTGTGAAGACATGTTTGTTCTTGAAGCCGTTCTGAAGGTGAATCTGCAGTATCATGCACTACAGAGATGCTAATGGGAAATGCATGTTGTCTTTCCAAATGAATAATTACAGAGTGTATTCTCATTTACATGATTTGTAGATTTGTGGGTTATAATCAGGCAAGAAAAATATTAATTTCCTATCATTACCCACAAAAATTATGTTTTCTCATTTATTCAACAACTTTTTATTGAACATCTCTGTGGATTATTCCTTATGCTGGGTCCCAAGGGTACAGAGGTATTCAGGGTCATTGTGATTCCTGTCTCGTTGCTTTTCCCTGTCTGATGAAGGAAGATGGGCAGATAGGCAAGTAACTAGATGCTTCTAATGTTTATATGGTATCTACTCTGATCGGTTACGTATAAATAGGACCAGAGGATACTTCCCTTACCTGAATTATCTATGCTGAGATGAGAAGGATAGATAGGAGTTATCCAGGTTAGAAATGATGGGGTCATGGAAGTAGTCTCAGGGAATAGGGTTTATAAAGTGCAGGTGAGAGTTTGGAATGTCCCAGCAACTAAAAGATCAGCATAACTAGAGTACTGAGTAGGAGATGGAATTGTACCAGAGATGAAGCAACAGAAGAAATATTAATGGCTGGATTATGTAGACTTATTTTTATGTATTACATAGATGTTCATGGATGTGTTTTTAATTCTGTTCTTATGATTTAAGTAATCACTATAAATTAATCCATAATGTGATTAAGTAAAACCTACTGGATCTAGACATTCATTTATAATTTTCTTATTGTTTTAGTATGAAGAATTGATGGAAGCCTTTAAAACTTTGCATAAAGAATGTGAGCAACTTAAGACATCTGGATTTTCTACAGCAGAAATAAGAAGGGTAAATAAACAAACGGAACCTAATATTATTTATTTGCATTGGAATCGTATTAGAATTATTTTTATTTTTAGTTAATTCTCTTGTATATTTAGAAACTAGTGGTAGCAAATGGCAGATTTACTTTTGTTTAGGGCCTTTAATGGAGTCCTGGTATGGCACTGTGGGTTAATGCGCTGTACTGAAAAGTTTGTTCAATCTGCAAGGTTGGTGGTTCAAGCTCACTAGCTGCTCCTCGGAAACCCTATATAGCAGGGTCGCTATGGGTCGGAACCAAATCAGTGGCACTTAACAACAACAACAACAACAACAGGGCCTTTAGGAGATCTTTGCTGGAGAATTAAGGCCTGAGTAGATTCACAGTGAGTTCTTATGTACTACACTGATCACTACCATGGATTACTGTTGTGGTGCTATAGGGCAAGCGCTGGATTGGT